CTGAAACAAATATTTCTTCCCATACAACAGATGACGCTTTGAAGCTAACTCCTGTACATGTGCATTAGTCCCCATTCCCACCTGCCTTCTCAGGAACAGCATACTGAGTATTAGTCCATCATTTCTTGTAGCTTCAATGTCTTTCTTCACCTGTAAACCTCATAATATAGACTCTCTTTCCTACACATACTTTGAAAATGTTTAACTACTTTCCTTAGCATCACCTACAGATATAGTTCCACAATCCTACCTCACCTGTAAGTATTTTCTTAGATCCCCTTCACAGTCATACTTCTTGAAAGAATCATCTACTCTTGCAGTCTCCATTCACCCCACCCAGTCACCACTCAACTCCCCCTGACATGGCTCCTCCCTAAATTATTCCATGGTGGCAGTTCTATATAAGGATAGCAATGGTGGTAATGTTGTTAAACCAAATGGATGTCAGCTCTGATATTATTTGACCTCAGCTGCATTACTCTGTTGTCTGCTCTCCCTCCTAAAACATTCTGCCTCCATGGCAAGCAAATACCAATGTACGTTAAGGCTCGAACTGTCTTCTCTTACTATTCTAAAGCAGGGGTCAGTAAATTTTCTCTTAAAAGGCCAGACAGTAAATATTTCAGACTTTGTGAACCACACAGTCTTTGTCAAAAATGCTCAATACTGCTGCTGTAGCAGAAAAGCAGTGAGAGATAACACATAAATAAACGAGCATGGCTGTGTTCCAATAAAAATGTAGGTTAAATTTCATATAACATAAATCCAACAAATTTCATGTAAATTTGAATTTCATGTATTTCATGTAATACATTCTTCTGATTTCTTCTAACCATTTAAAAATGTAAAAAACATACTTAGCTCCCAGGACATACAAAAACAGGTGATGGGCCATAATTTGCTGACCCTTGCTCTATCCCATCATCCCTTTTTAATGGCATTTACCAACACCTGTGATAACTGTTCACTAACTGTCTGAGCTCCACATTAGAATATAATTCAGAAAAGCTTATTTAGCACTTAATAGTGCATGACCTAAAGGAAATAATTAATATGTGCTGAAAGAACAAATGACAGGCAGGCATTAGCTCATTTCCTGTGGTCCTGCTGGGTTAGGTCTGCTGCAGCTATATCACCTCCATTACCAAGGTTAAATCACAGGACTGCTCAGACTAACCACTCCTGCTCAAGTGCTTACTGTTTTGTGGCTGTGGTAAAGCATATGTGTATGTTAAAGTTACAGGATACTGGAATGAGGAGGGTCTTTGAATGACATGTGGTCTAGCCCCTCGTTTCATGAGCAAATGAAGTCACTGAGGCCCACAGAGATCAAGAGCCTCACCTGTGATCAGATCACTTGTCAGTGCATGGCAGGCTTGGGCATCAGGTCTCCTCTTTGCCCTTTCCATGAAACAATGCAACTGACTGATCCAAGCTGTGTCAACAAGAAGTTCTAATGTACATTTTCCTTCCAACATGCCCAACACAGAGTTTAGCAAGCCCTTGCCACTCTTGCAGAGTTAGCAAGAAGACAGGAGGTCCTGGATACTACTTGGCAAAAAGGAGAAGAAAGACTACTTTTAGTGGGAGCTACCTTGGCAGAGTTCTCCAAGCCTTACCTGCAGAAGCTCCCTGGTAGGCTGCTGCTGCTTCTCTTCCAGCTGGGCGATCAGGCTGCTGAGGTGGGAGATGTTACAGGAGAACTGGGTGATGGCACCATTGATGCTGTTGTAGATGGCCAAGTCTAGCTCCTCAAGGCGGGCCAAGAGACGATACTCATGCTCCTTCAAGGAGTGATACAGCTGCTCAAACTCCCAAACTATCTTCTCCCTCTCCATCTGGGTCAGGCTCTATATAGATGACAGGGAAGAGCAGTGAAGAGAGAAAAGTATCACTTCTAGTGTCCTTCACATTTCTTCCCTGACTACCTATCCCCAAGACCTCATCATTTCATCCTAGGATACTGAAACAAGCACCGTGTTGCTCACTTATTATTCTCTCACTTATTATTTCCAGTCTTCTGCCTGACATGGGACAGTTTCTTGCATTGTAAGACATTTAGCATCCCTCCCCTCCCCTCCCCAACCACTACATTCTTCCAGTTGACAGTGGAAGAAACACCCACACGCCATTATAAAGAAAAGGGCAGTACTAGCCTTGGTTGAAAATCACAAGTCTAGTCCAACCTACCCATTTCACAGATGAAGAAACTAAGGCCCAGAAACGTGTGACCCTCTCCATCTATACAATTATGGGTAGTGTCAGAGCCTGGAAGCATGTCCAGGTACCCTGATTCTCAGAGAAAGTGTCTCTCTCTTCTGATAACCCTCCCACAGAGAACACCATTGTATGCATAATGATTTGAGTCTACTCAAGCTCATGGAGAAGATTCTCCACCCATCAGACCCTATTTTCAAGCAAGGAGGGCTGAGGTTTCAACAGACTACACGGGCAGAGAAAGTGGTAGGATCTAAGGACACCATGGAAACAAGTTCCCTGTCCAGTAGTTCTTTATTACACCCTGCCAGGACTGACAAAATTTCTCATAAGAGGATGCTAGACACAACTAGTCAGGAGCTTGCATTTCAGATGTAAATATTGCTAATGAGTGGGGATTTATAATATTTCATTTATTGTTCAAAAACACTTTAAACACCTAGGTAGTAGATATGCAAGTGTGTATTATACAAGTTTCTGTGCTTTTTGGTTTTGGGGTTTTTTCCAAAACAAATTCCCAAATATCCCTATCACATTAGCACATCAGCCACTTGCCAAGGCCTTGTGAGACTAGGGGAAGAGAGCAGAGTGCAAAATTCAGCATTGAGGCACTGTCAAGAAAGGGAAACACTCCAGAGAGAAGCAACAGTGGAGCTTAGGCAAATCTACTATCAGCACCCGTCTGCAGGATGGTACCAAAAAGAAGGCTAACTGTACCCGAGAATTTTTCCTATCTCAGCTTTATCAAGGATCAACCCCAGTCTACACAAAGCCAGTAGGTTAAATTTTACTGATAAGTCTAATTTCCAGAGGTTCCAAACTTGGCTCCCCTATCCTTTCCCTAAAAGTGGGGGAATCCCTTGGTTCTTCAGGTGAGCTCCTACTGAGTGCCATGTGGGCTCATTCCACCTGTACCTAGAAGTTCTGGATGACCTAGCTGGACAAGGTTAAGGGAAATAACATCAGGCCCACAGAAGAGAGAGTGACCAGCAGGCACAATATTTACTGTATTCCAACAACCCTTACCAAGAGTTCAGCTCGTGCCTGCTCCCCCTGTGCCCGACGTCTCTTCTTTAAGTCTTTCACTCTTTTTAGATGGTCCAGTTGGTTCTGGATTTGTTCCTGAAAGAAGAAAAACAGATGGGCAGTTCAAGATTAGGCAGACCTCAGCATCAGCATGGCTATTCTGCTTAGCATACATGGAACACATATTCCTAATATCAAGTCCTTGGTTAGAGCTTGTCCTTAGACCACACTGCCACCCACAGGAGAAAGGCCCAGAGCACAAGGCCACCACCCCTCCCCTTTGGCAATTTATGTGTTTTTTAAAACAGTGAATCATCTACCTGTCCCTAGAAGGATACTGCATGGCTTAATGGAAAGGTGACTGGACTAGGAAGTATAATGTTGTAGTTCTTCCACAGAGGAATACTGAGACATTTGTGTAATATGGGTAAAGCCCACCTTCCCAACCTACTCCAGAGTTATCACCAGAGTGAGTAAAACTATAGTTCAAAGCTCCATAATTGTTAAGTGATTAATTATGCATGAATGCACTCACATTTAAACAGGGACATAATTGTGTGCATATTCCTGCAGCCCTCAAATATACAGAAAATACACAGCATCCTAGACTCCTTGAATGTTGTCTTAAAACTGTTTTATATGCAATACTTCATTTCCATGTTATTGTTTAGTTGTGCCAAACTGTTCAACAGTTCACAAAGGGCTCTGCACATCATATGATTTCACTTAATCTTCATAATTGTTATCCTCTGATTCTCAGAATGGCTAAATGACTTAAGCAGTACACCACTCTGTCCTTTTCTGTGAGTTTCTAGAACAGGATTACAGGAAAGTGCTGTGGAAATGCTTACAAACTGATGAGCATCTGCTTGATATGTTTACAGTCAGGTAACATCCGAATGTGTTTTAGCTGAGCTTGTTTGGGAGCGGAGGGGAGTATGAGTCTCTGAAACTTGTTGTTGTGTACGTGGTTTTCCACACTTCTTCTATACTGTCAAAAAGAGGTTCTCCATGGGCCGTCTTTATGTACAATGTGCTCATGAGCCGGCAAACACAGGGACAAATAGAGAAAGGAGAGTTGGGATGGGGAGACTTCTGGCTTCCTCACCAGCTACAGGTTTTCCTCCCAAATCTGAATGCGGAGGCTCTGGAGAGGACAGAGAGGAAATGACGGCTGTGAACCACACGTCCGGCTCAGCCATTTTCTAGGCGGAAAGAAGGGAAGCCCCTTTGGCTCTCTCCTTCCTTTGTCCGACTCCCGCTCCCACCCCTGTCCGCTCCGCGCCCTCACCTTGAAGCCCTCCACCGCCTCCTCGAGCGGCAGCACGCTGTGGCCGCGGTGCTCGCGGGAGCGGTCGCACACCACGCAGATGGGCATCTGGTCCTCCTCGCAGTACAGCTTCAGTGGCTCGCGGTGCTTCTCGCACACGCCCATCTCGCCGCCGGGCCCCGACGGCCGCTCGGTGCGCAGCTGCTTCACCAGCTGGGTCACGTTGGCCAGATGCCGGTTGGGCCGCATGTGCCGCTGCGGGAAGGTCTCCCGGCACTGCGGGCACGACACGTTAGTCTCTGCTGCGCCCCAGCAGCGGGCGAGGCACGCGCAACAGATGTTGTGGCCGCAGTCGAGCATCATGGGCTCAGCGAAGTACTGCAGGCACACAGGGCAGGTGGTCTCCTGCTGCAGGCACTCGGCCACGCTTCCGGAGGCCATGGCGCGGGCCTGCGGGGGCGCAGAGCATGGGCCCCGGAGCAGAGCTCTACGTGGAGCCCAACTCTCCTGCGCTCTTTCCCGTTCGCTGCTCCTGGGCGGCACGGGGAGGAGGCAAGCGGGGCGCACGGAGGGCGGCGCCTCTCAGGCCCAGATCCCAGACGCGACCGCGCGCGGAAGCCTCAGAGGGGCCAGGCCGCTCCCTGCGCCACTGTACCCCGCGGAGTGAGCGCGGGAATACTGCCGCCTCACCAAGCCTCGCGACTACGCCAAGGGGCCGGGAGCAGGGCGCCGCGGTCAGGCTCACAGGGTCAGGCGCAACAAGCGCGCTAGACAACGTGGCCGCCTCCGAGCGGATCCCGGCGGCCGCGTAGACCCCACCCCGGCGCGAGCGGAAGAGGCGGCTCTGGGGGCGGGACTTGGCCCGCGCCTCCAGCGAGCGACAGGATTTCGTGGCTTCGGGGCCTGAGCTGTTTCCTCCTGGAGAGGACAGGGAGGCCCCGCCACCTGCCCTTGGGAGGGACGCGCTGGAGCCTAGGGTCACGGGAGCAGGTGCTGCCTCCGAGGCGCGACGGTGACATGGTACTCCTGCCGCAGTTCCGGGCCTACCTCCAAGCTTCCGAGGCTGCCGGGCCTGGAAGGTCTTTTGTTGGGTTTCTTCTTGGTGCCCAGCCCTCAGCCCCTGCAAGAGAAAGCTGGCTTTGTATAGGTACTTGGAAGCGTGAACCAGTACCTTTGTATAGGTACTGGTCTCTGCGTGAAGCCGGAGGGTGGGGGTAGCAGACTGAGCCCCACTTGGTATGTGAGGCACTTGATTAAACAGACCCACTCACAGGCACTCGAAATTTTGTTTAAAAACAGAAAGATTTGATTATCAGATGGTAACATTCTGTGGGGCAGAATTAGGCCCAATTCTGCTACTTCTCATTTGTGCCCAAGCAAGTTGGTTTACCGTTTTGAGCCTCAGTTTCTCCTCCTGTGACACGGAGATGGTAATTAAACCCTAGCAAGGTAGTAGAATTCATTATATATTTTACTTTTTGAACCATAGGATGTTTATCCATTAAAATAGTAATAAAATGCCTACCGCATAGAGTGGTTGTATTGAGTAGGGCCTAAAAATTCTTTGCTCGTTTCTGAAATGGAGATTGAGAATCCTTTGGTTTTCTAGGGCAAGGGTAGAGAAACTTTTCATGTTCAAAGGCCGCATTAATTTAGCTGTAATCAAATAAGGCTGCATTCAAGAAGCTTCAATTAGATACACTGAAAAATGTACATTATTTTGTAAAAATCTAACTACTATGTATTTAATAGCTTCAAAAAATGATAACTTTGTTAATTTTAAAGTTAACCTTTTAATGACTTTGTTATGACTGCTTTTTGTTGGAAAGCATTTGAATATTTGGTTACAGCATGGAAGTCCAAAGTTTCAGGTGATCCTCTAGATGGGTATCAGTCATTTGTGACCTGAAGGGTGTGTTGATTTGGGTTAGATAGGAGAATATAGATTCCCAGCAATAAGTGATTGAAAAGCAAGAAAGCATTTTTCGGGCATGTTGACACAGGCATGGGTATTCTACTGCATTTTCCCATATTTCAATTGGATCTTTCTTAGCATCAAACAATGACTTTAAAATGTCATCTACTGAGAGCTCAATAATTCCATCTGTAGTTCTTTAGGTGCCTTGGTGATATTAACTAGGTGACGCTGAAATGCTAATTTGAGTGTGATGTGATTCTCAAAGTCAGTGAAACTTTCATTGTATTCTCCAATTAATAGGTCTATAACAGCTGCATATTCTTCAAATGATTTGCATATATTATCCTGCTCATCAATGACCTTTGCTAACTGGGGAAAATGTTCATCTGAAATTTCCTTTTGGAGAAGAATTGTTTTGAAATGCTTGGATTTGTTAAATCTCTGCTTTAGCACAGAGATTTTGCTGACACAAGATACAATGAAAAGAAATGAGAGCATCTGATCTGTTAATACTTGTTTTGTCTGTCCAATAAACTCTTCATGTTTTCCTGTCATGGAAGGTGCACCGTCTGTACACACACTCACTAAATTTACCAAATTCAGTCCAACCTCACAACATTTATCTTGAAAATTGTTGAAGATAACTATTCCCTGTGTTTGTTCACAAGAGTGCCCAAAGTAACTCTTTTTGGTTGTTGTTGTTTTGTTTTAAAGACTTTTTGCCATCTCAGTGAGTGACTCTTCATAGCAAAGAAAAGCTTCTGTTACAACACCAATGAAGTATAAAACCTATGCTCAGTCAGTAGTATTAGTTGATTCATCCAAAGCGATTGAATAATATGTATTTTCCTTTTGAAGTATTGCATGAAGTTTCTCTGTAAGTTGAAGGCTAATTCATGATGCCGATCAGTTGTGGTTCTCCTTGAAAGAGGCAGTTGTTTGTACTTTGAAATGTTATCAGGGTCTAAGCATCCTACAACTTCAACAATTTATTCTTTAACAATTTCTACATCACTGAATGGCTTCCCTTTTGTCCTGAGTATATAAGCTACTTTATAAGTTGCTTCAGTGGCATTATTTCCAGGTCTTATTATAGCTTGAAAGAATTGTCTTTGCTTTTCATCTTTTAATTTCTGCAATACAACCTTTCATGCCTCTCCCTCTAATTTAAAATATCTGTGGTCCTTTTGAGTGTTATAATGCTGATGAAAATTGAATTTCTTTAGTGTTGATACTGCAGTATCACAAAGCAAGTAAATCATCTTTAGCAGAAACAAGATAATATTGCAATTCCCAATCCTCATTAAAAAAAAAATCTGTGGCCAGGCGCAGTGGCTCATGCCTGTAATCCTAGCAGAGGGAGGCCAAGGCGGGAGGATTGCTTGAGCTCAGGAGTTCGAGACCAGCCTCAGCAAGAGCAAGAACAAGACCCCATCTCTACTATAAATAGAAAGAAATTAGCCAAACAACTAAAAATAGAAAAAATTAGCCGGGCATGGTGGCGTGTGCCTGTAGTCCCAGCTACTTGGGAGGCTGAGACAGGAGGATTGCTTGAGCCCAGGAGTTTGAGGTTGCTGTGAGCTAGGCTACACCATGGCACTCCAGCCCGGGCAACAGAGTGAGACTGTCTCAAAAAAAAAAAAAAAAAAAAAAAAATCTGTTTTCTTTCTTTAGCATTCTCTTGGTCTTCTTTGACATGATGGGCTGTTAAGCAGACAGAATTAAAAAATACTGTTGAGCCGTGCAGCTATTCACAAATTCTACTTCAAATAGAAACACACTGCACCATTGTCAAAAGCTAATAACAGACTGGCATACTCAACTCCCATAAACTCTAGCCAACCAGCCTGGTGTGGTAGTGGTGCCAGTGGTGGGGTGGGGGGGAGTGGGGGGGGAGTTAAACTAAATCATGATTGTAGCAGCTGTCAATTTAGCCTTTATGGCTTACTAATGTTCTAATTGTGCTGGTCAATCTGGGAGGAGTATTTTGTTGGAACTTATTTTGTTCTTTGCTATTTTAAATATGTTCATTTTACAAAATAAAAATATAAAAGAACAAAATGTATTAATAAAATAAAAGGATTTGTTTGTAAGAATTTGGATTCAGGCAAAAAGCCACACTTAAGGACCTAGAAGGCCATATGTGGCCTTAAGGCTGCAGGTTCCCCACCCCTGGTCTAGGGTCTTGCAGTCCCACAATACTCATTCTCATATCATCCAGTAGACTTCCAGCTCTTTTGTGTTGCTGCTTCATCCCTGATTTGGTAATTCTTAATTTTCTTTGGGATTTTCTCAGTATTGTCCTTGTATCTGAGCAAGGGGTCTTCTGCTTCCAAACTATCACTTTAGAGTTCCACTCTGGTCCTCTTCCCCATGGGACAGGAAGTCTGAGGGACTAAGTGGACTTGCCAACCCGAAGCCCACATCCCCCTTCTCAATCACACTCTGAGTATCCAGTCTTTGAGATTCCAGGCTCAAGTAGCCCCAGCCCTCGTCCAGAAAAATGTAGATTAATTGGACTAGGCCACACCATAGTCTGGTTTTGGTTTGAGATTGGGTCAAAATTGACATTTGGAGGAACTACAGGATGCTTCTACTGTGATTTACTCCAAAAAAGATTAATAAGCATTGAAACTGTATGTAAATATGAGAGATACAGACAGGAGATCAGGATGTCCTTCATCTCCCCCTTATCTAAAGGATGCAGGCCTGGAGTTTGGCTTTGTTTCTGAGGATTGATGGTGTTTATCTTCTCAACCCTTTATAACCCCTGTAAGCAGGTGCCCTGGAGGTAAAGAAGGGTCAAACAAAATAGATGGGTTGAGTGGGGTGGGATAGGAGTAGGGGGAAAGGGAAGGTTTATATTTGGTAATCTCTATCAGCCCCCTTCTGGAATGATTACTGTTTTCCCTTCATCTTCTAGATTTTTTGGAATTTTGGTTTGTTCAACTTGCCTGTTCATTTAAATTTCTATTACTATACTCTGATGTAAATTATTGCAACAATGTATCAGTTTGCAAATGTTTTTGAAAGGAATTACTAACCATACACCTATTCCCATTAGTTTCCCTATTTGTAGTCTTTTTCTTTTCTTGGTTTACATATCACCTCAAGGGAGAGAATCATCCTTAAAAATTTCCTAAAATGCTTTCATTCTGTCACTTCTCACTCAGAAAGCCTGGAAGTTTCTTTTTTGCCTCTGGGACTTTGTGCAAGCTCTTTAGCATAAAGTCGTGATAAAATACAGTTTTTATTTATAAAATATTTTGTTTTAAAATAAATTCATACCTGCCCTATTCAACCTACCTGCCCTGAAGGGTAGTGACTTCCACTAGTATTGACCAAATCCAGGGATACTTTTCAGTCTTGTCTTAACATCTCTGAGGCATTTGGTTGACACTGTTGCTCCCTCTCTCATTTTTTTTTTCAGGCAACAAACTGTGATCTGGTGAGGACTAAGGTATTTCTGCTTCCTCCATCTCCTCCTGTCTTACTTGTCTTTTACCAATTAATACTAAAATTAGGCTAAAAAAATAAAAGAATAGTCAGGAAATATACAGCTCTGCAATACTTAAAGAATAAGCTGAGGGCCAGGAGTGGTGGCTCACACCTATAATCCTAGCACTCTGGGAAGCTGAGGTGGGAGGATCGCTTGAGGTCAGGAGTTTGAGACCAGCCTCAGCAAGATCGAGACCCTGTCTCTACTAAAAATAGAAAGAAAATTAGCTGAACAACTAAAAATAGAAAAAATTAGCCAGGTGTGGTGGTGCACACCAGTAGTCCCAGCTACTCAGGAGGCTGAGGCAGGAGGATCGCTTGAGCCCAGGAGTTTGAGGTTGCTGTGAGCTAGGCTGATGCCACAGCACTGTAGCCCAGGCAACAGAGCGAGACTCTATCTCAAAAAAAAAATCTGACAGATGGGACAGAATAGAATATTGAGAAAAAGGCCAAATGTCAATAAGAATGTAGTATGAGATAAGAAATTGCAGGTTGGTGATGTACATTCAATAAATGATCTTGGAATAACTGGCTAGCTATTATGGAGAGAAAAAATATACCATCTCACTTCTTATACCAAAATATGTTGCAGATTAATGAAAGATTTAAATAAAAGAATCCACAAAAGTTCTAAGAAAAAAGAAAACTGATTTAAAAAAAAAAAAACTTGTCATCTGGAAGATCTTTCTAAACATGACCCCAAA